TCATTAACAATTCGGCATGGACATTTTGGTGTATATGAACGCAGCGGGCTCTATACATTACTTAATATATATACATTAAATAAACCAAGCGCATAACGGTTGTATAACTTATTCTGACCAAAGTAGCACTCTTGCAATAATTACTAGGCATAAGTCCGTAGAGTACCGCTCTGTATATGTACTCTCATAATTAGGTGATATTATTATACAATTCATGGTGCGTGCCTCTCCCCGCGGTGTAATTGTTGCTTTGTGATACTCATACTTTTCTCACCGTTTTCTTTTGCTTCATACAGTTTGCAACATTCGTTAAGCTTTTTCCCTAGTAATAAACAATAACGAAAATTCTTCTTAATATATTTGTTTCCCGAAAATATTATAAAAATAGTAAAATCACCTTTTTATTCTTCTATTTATTTTTACTTGAGTTTATGTAATGTTATCACAAATTACAATCCTAAGCATATAAACTGGCTATTGATTTTGTGTAATGCATGTAATGCCAGTGTGACTACTACTAAGAAAAAATATATTGTTACTTTTTGTCGATTACGAGTAACCATTTCATATCATTTTTTTTTTTTGTATCGAGTACAAAAAAACTAGCGCTAGTTTATTGTCATTTTAGGTCACTTTCAATTTGATGTGTAAAAAGCTGAAAACAATTCGTATTGCTTAAAAAGCAATTGAAGCTTTTAAAAGCAACAGAGTTAATTACAAAAAAAAAAAAAAAAAAAAAAATTAATAACATGAAGACATATACGGCTAGTACTAGGACTAAAATACTCTTCCTTTGCTTCGAACTTCTGCTATTTATTTCTTTCATCTGTGTGTTACAAAATGTTAATCATGTAGGATAATAGTATATATTCATGTGAGAAATAATGCAAAATGAAAAAAAAACAAAAGCCCGTTATTTTTGTATTCTACATTCTTTTCTAATTTCCTTTTATGTAACCAGCATTTGTGTGCATTACTAAGAGGCATACATGAATAGCCTATTTTTTTTTTTACAAAAACGCATAAATGCCCTTCTTGTTTCTTTTTTCTTCTCTGTTTTTAGGGCATACATTATAACCCTAGGAATTGTCAACAAAATGAGAAATCCAGGAACAACTTAATAAAAGGCAGACAATTAGCTTTACTACATGGACCTGGCCTTCATGGCCACTGTACCGAGACCATTGTGGAAAGTTGTGGACCCAGAAATCCCCATTCCATTAATACATATATACGTAATTCAGGACACCATTGGCCATTTGATCGATGTCACAGGTTAAATAGAATACACCATCACACAGTATCATATTCCCTTATGCTTGATGTACAACTTTATATGTACCGCCGAATAACAACTGCATGCATAACCTACCATTTTCCCCCTCTATATTCCTCCCTGCAGGAGTCACGTGACTTACCATTCACATCATCATCATACACCCATTGTTTCACCAGTGCACCCGGCAGTACCGGTTGTACCGACAGTACCGCCCGTGCCGACAGTGCCGGTTGTACCGACAGTACCGGTTGTACCGACAGTAGGGACAGTACTTGATACTGCTATTCACGGTGCCCTTGGCCTTGGTCCTTTGCCTTGTTCACCATTAAGCTGGTATATGGGATTCAGGACACGATGTATAGCCCCAATGATGTCGATGTTTTGGGGTTTACCAATGTATGGTAGAGGATTAGTATCACTTGCTTTACTCGCTATACCAATACTTATTGTTGTACTTGCAATCATGCTTTCATAGGCGGCCACCTAAGCGCAATATGTGGTAATTTTAATCCTGTACAACGGAAAACAGATAGTACAAAAAAGGGTACATTGTATCTATCAAAATTGACAGTGTGATGAATCAATATAATGGGCATTATAAATAACTGAAATTAGTAAAACAGAATATCATAATATTATGAAAAAAGGACAGACACCAAAATGACTAAATTTATGAATATAACTTATAGTTACTTGCTCATTTATTGAATATTTAAAACGACGCAATCCAAATGACCTATTGTGTGTATCCTATACAATTACTTACACTTTTCAATGAATGAATACTCATTTTTTCTTTAATATATAAATATTCTCTAGTAACTTCTTAATATATTCTTAAATATTGTTTCTCCTAAGAAATATCCATGCATTAACACATAAATATAAAGTTACACCAAACGTTGCATATGTTCCTATGTGAATCTGTACAATTATTTGTCTTATGAAAGCCACAAATTTTCAAGATTTAATACATGTGCATATATAAATTATTCATTTTTATCATATTTTAATAAAATATTTATCAAAAACAACAATTTATACGCAATGCACAAGATTCAAGCACAAATATGAAGTTTTCCAAACCATCTTAACTCAAACATATCAGAAGTGTTAAAGAACAAACTTGCTGTTCATTATGCGAAATATGAATAGAACCCCTCTACGTTTTGAAATGTTGTTCGTGCATATCTCTTAACTTAGGCGTCGCTTTTTGTACACTTCTTATTTTGTCTATACGCAAGAATAGCTGTGTTACCACAATACTAATTTGCTGCAGCTCCCTGTGTAGGCATAAAACTCGACAAAGAACATTTTTTAAATATTCAGTACATCACACGGTTAATGAACTTTTGAAGCAGCACCATTATTTCAAAATTTGTTCGTGTACTCACTAAAAAATAATTATAGGTATGCTTTATTTCATACTACCAAATGAGAAGGAGCGGTGCCGCACAAGGTACTCATTAAAAGTACCAATACATGCGCAATCTACTAATACAGAAGAATTTGTTAATTTTTAATTTTTTTTTTTCAATAGCTAGAAATGTCATAGAACCAGAAAAATATATACATACTACTGTTGAGATTGTTCAAACAGATGTTGCCGCTCTGTGGTGACCCACATTTTAGCTTGCGACAGGAGGGTGAATTTTTCTTCGCGATCAACCGAAAGAAAATAAAAAATTTGGTCATGTTTATCTGCCTGCGCATGAGTTATATATGTGCACTTGAGATAATACATCCATATTGGGGAATGTGGGGAAAACTACTGTAGGACATGACATTATGCAATTCATTACTAAAATATATGATGTATTTTATTTTTTTTACTGATTATTATATATTTATAAATTGATAAAATTGTAGAATGATGCCAGGGAGTTATAAGAAAATTCTACAGAAGTGCGACGGAAGGGGGATAATACGATAACAACAGCACTGATGAGTAGCACACATTATCTAAAATACTGAATCATATTTCACCTTCTGTAACACCTGTACTACTTTTAAACAATTTCTACTTTCCTTGATGTTCATTTATTTTTCATATGATTTTTTTTTTATATTCTCTTTTGGCTTAATTCATTTACCATGTCGACAGATAATTTTTTGTTGCGCATATACCATTATGTATTTCACGTATTAATATTGCTTTATATATTTCTATTTTCATGTTGATTTATTTTATATTTTCCTTTTTCTATTTCCAACTCCGTATGTCTTAACTTTCCTTGTACCTTATACATTTTTGAATGCCTTACGAATCTTTATTCTTTATCTGTTGGGGGAAGCTCCGATATTAGATATAACTGTCCCTCTATGTGTCTCACTCCTATATTTAAATTGTACTACACTGACTTTTGCACATTTTTCACGAGTGTCTTCTTCACCTTATTTAGGTCTTCCACATAACATGGTATGTTTTTGTTATAGTCCCAATTTTTCAGCTTTAATATAAATTGCCCGCATTCCCTGCTCATAATACCTGCTTTTTAAAAGTACAGTATAATTGAACTCTCTTTGCTGCTTCATTATTTGCTAAATGCATACTGATAAAAATGCATGATCAACACATAAACGGTTTGTACATGCGTTCATCCCGCTAATGATGGAATTCCATCTTTGTAGTGCAATTATGCACTGTTACGAAAATGTTAATTATAAATTTCTTAAATTATTCCTAATTGTTGCTGCGATATGCACCATGGCTTATTAGAAAATAAAAAATTACAAATTAATAAACAAATATATATGTGAACAAAAAAAAAAAAAAAAACATACGGCACATTTGTTTTCCATGTTCTGCGGAACTGTTCGCTACCAGTTTCACAGTTTGTGTGCCAGTTTTTCCATTCCTTCCTGCAATAAGCGCTGCGATTACACCTACTATCAAGATGCAGTCATTTCTTATTTTAAATGTTTAAATCATAAGCTAAGACAAGCATTTTTTAAAGGTAATTACAAACAAGGGGTGCTGATTTAAAGGTGTATCATTTGTTCCCTACGCTCATGTGTAATATGTACATGCTCACATTATATAAACTCTAGGATGAGTCTCAAATAGTACAACTGCATACTTCAGTAGTAACAACATTACGACATTTCAGCCATTTCGTTTTCAAGGTTATGGTACCATATGTTGTAAGCCAAAAGTATAATAAAAAAATAGCACTCTTATTGAAACAACACAAGGAAAGGTGAAAGCGCAATATTCAATTGTTCATAGCCTTTTTTTAAGTAAAAACATATTAATCAACTATAAATAAAGCCTTTCAAAAGCGCAAAAGAGGAGCATAGCATTCACCAGGTTACTACGATAGGGTAATCTGTCTTTTCCGCGTCTACACGCACATGCATTTTTATATGTATACTTGCACATACCACAAACGAAAACGGTATATACACCTTTGGCTTTGTAAGAAACATATAGTAATGTATATAACATTATGTGTTGCATCGTGCAGAAAATATAGATAAGACCTATTAGCTGTACCAAGGAATTTCCTAATGGAATGCCTCCAAAATTGATAATCAGGAGAAAGGTTATATAAACTATTAATATAGCACAGAATATATATTTGCGAGTGCTTTTCTTTCATACGTAATTCAAAAACCTAGCCATGGAAAACAACACCACAGATCTTGCAATGGCAACCCGTTGCTACATATGTGAATAGCGCAAACCGTGCATTGCGTACAAATGGATTATTGATATTTCATTTACTATAGTTATTCATCCCACACTTCATGGTTAAGAGGACAGAAAAACTGTTTATCTCGAACGAAAGCAAACGGTTTCAACATAATTCACGTCAGAAGGCTCATCCTTGTGAAGGCCCTTTTGTAGACCACCCTTTGGCAGTATCTATTCACATGTGCTTACATAAAAAATAAATAGAAAATGTTCCTTGCACCTACACTAACAAGAAATAACGAATGCTCTATCCGAAAAAAAAAACTTTGCTCGTAATATATTTATCTTCATTAACATGTAAGAATTTATATGTTATCAAAAAGAATATTACACTCTTTGTTTACTTTAATAATATAATTTGTGAACTTTTCCGAGCGAACTTCTCTTATGGCAACATTGAATATATGAAAACGAGTGTACAGGAGAGAACATCTGTAAGGTTCCTTTTAAATCACATCACCATGTGTTATAACTGCAATTGACCCCATACATAACACAGTTTTATAATATATACACAAAATATGTTCTTTTTTTTTTTTTTTTTCTAATTTGAAATGAAAAAATGATAGATAATAAATTTCTTTAATAATGCATCCCCCCACACATACATGTTTAACCATATCCTTTCAGAAAAATGTGATAATTTTATAAATACTAATTTTCCAAACAGAAGAATGCTATTTGGCGACCCAACAACATATATCCTTTAACGTTTAAAATTTTTGTTAATGTATTTTAATTATCAATTTTGAAAAAATATACTAAAAAGAAGTAAAAAAATTGTAAAGGTAGCTCATACGCAAAAGGCGATTTGATATTCTATAAAATACGCTTAGATATATCTCAATTTATTTATCACTGTTAAAACGTACATAATATATGCACGTATATACAAAACATATAAGCGCTAATGTGTACAAAATAAATAAAGGGTGCATTATTAATATAACTATGCCTTACTTGTGTTTACATGTTCGACCAAATAATTTAATTATGAGATTTTTATTAGTAGTATTTCTGGTCTTCAAATAATACTCTCTTTTGTATTTTATTATTTATTTGCCCACGCTTAGCATTTAATAATTTTAAATTTAATGTTAACTGTTTTTTTGTTTTTTTGCGTTTTAATTATGTGACGAATGTATAATATATTTACCTTTTTTTTAATAGCAAGTTTTTAAGATAAAAAAAAAAAAAAAAAAAAAAGTATCTTATGTATTTATATAGCAATCATTTATTTTAAACCATATTTATAAATGCGGAGTTGTACTTTTCTTACGTAAAGGATATAAGTCCACTTGTACTTGGTAGAATAACTCTATTCATTTTTGCGCAATCGAAAAGGCATATTGTCCTGAATTCAATTAATTTGGAGTCTAACCGCCACTACCATCACCCGAACTCCAACCTAATAAGTGAATACATTTTTATGTACCTTGTATATATTTTTCAGAAAAAATAGAAAAAAAAATCTCATATGACTGGTTATAAAATGATAAACATTAATACAAACTCGAAAAATGAAACACATGAAGGAAGAAAAAAAAAATCGCCATCCATTTTAACGTTATGTGCAATTGCAAATTTTAATCACAAGAATGTAAGGCTAGTTAAACTTACTACTTTTGTAAGCATTGTGCTCCTGTCCTTGTTATTCCTCAATTGTCATTCCTCCCTCTGGTATGTGAAGCACAATTGTTTTCTTTTAAATTATACTTATCTTGGTACATATGTTTATGTAAACCTGCAGGTAGATGCGTAGTCCCTGAATTTCTACCTCACCCTTTTAATTCATAAATAGTTAAAGACATATAATAATTGCACATTACTCTTACATACCTCCCGTTTTATTTTATAGCAACGGTAAGAAATATGGTAGCGACGGTGACGCATTTCAAGGTGAATTAAGTCTACCAAATGGAAGGATCTTAGCCAACAAAGAAACGTTTAATGCAAAACCAGACAGCTTTTTCACATTTAAGGATGAAAACGATGAGAAACTCCGAAGAGGTTATTCGCCATATTTGAAAGTCTACACTAATATAAATGATCTAAATGAACTAAGTGTAAAATCGTTTGAAATATGGAAAAAAGTAATTCAAAATATGAAAGATTATTTCTATTCAGAAACAATTCAAATGGATGAAAGATGGAGAAATTATATGTGGACAATGGTATGGGAAAACCATTACATAAAAAACGTACATCGTATCATTAATAATGTTCTTCAAGACTTAAACAATACAGTAGCAAAAAAAGAAAACATAATTAACACCTGGTTCCTGATGTGTGAAGAGGACCTAGAATTTTTCCTCGAATGTGTTAACGAACAGTGGCTCAAGGTGGTTTCGAATAAACACAACAAAACTGTCCAGGGTGAGCAAACGATGATTGAAGATGCCAAAAATGTGAAGAACCAATTCGAAAAAAAACTTGTAACAAGGATGTAAAACCAAACAACGGTTACATCAAATGAATAAATACGCTAAAATGGAACGAAGCAATGAGCACAATTGCCGTATTCAGATCCATATGAACAATTATCAAATGAATTATAATTGTGAAAATTATATTTTATTTTTTTTTTAGTGTCAGTTTTAAAATATTCTAAGGCGATTATTAGTATAAGATGAAACATGTAAAATATGAAGGTTCAGCGAGAAGAAAAATAACATAAAATTAATAACATCTCAGTTTTAACTAGTGCTTTCTATATATAATATTATTTGTGCGTAGTACTGTGACTTGTGTTTTTTATAGATTACTTATAAAAACGTGAAATGCATATGGCATTCTTTTTCCGTTCCATTTATTATATTTTTCATTATGAAAACCCTAAAGCCTTACTTGTTTAGAGCGTATGGTAATATTCATACGTTGCATTAACCTTTACCCTTTTTAGTAGCCATTTTTACATTTTATATTCCTTTTTAATAATGTTATTTGCAATAGACGATATGAACTCTCCCCCTGGATACATGTTCAAAATAGGAAAGACAGTTGCTTTAAACAATTTTCACCCCTTTGAATTTTACCACCAGCTGACTTGTACACTCATAAAACGGACGCATTAATTGTGTACAATTATATGTGTATCATTTGAAGTTACGTTTTTTATGCAGCCACTTCAACTTGTAGCCTCTAAAAGTGGGATATATTTTATGTGGTCGTGTCGCGAATAAAACGTATAAAACAGCAATGTTGTGTAATAATAACACAGGTAGAAACATGCGACAACGTAAATAAAATTTTTAAAAGTTATATCAACATATCTATGATATATGTTATAAGCTTACACTATTCCCATGGTTAATCCAGTCAGGGGCATGCAAAATGAAGGACAAAAAAAAACTCTTAAAATATAGCTATAACTTAGTTATGTTTTTTTCGCGTATATTTACAACTGTGACAAAAGAATTTACCAGCGCATTGTATTTTTATATAGAACATGAAAAACTTGAAAACGCATACAAGTTATGTGTTTCCACATGCGTGTCACTGTATCTATGTAAATACTAGTACATGTAACTATTAACGAATTCGAATATTAATTTAAAAGTATCATTTTGCTTTTCCATGCAGAATAAAATTTAGCGAAGATTTGTACCCATTATGACATAAAACAAAAAAAAAGTAAGCATTTTACATTGCCATAAGGTATACACCGCCGCCTTTACCCCCCTTTTACTTTATCATGCCAAACTTCTCATGACCTATATATTTCCCCCTAATTTTTATTCGATGAATTTTCAGCTTATGCGGAAAATAATCCAAACCGGAACAGACATTTTATATTTTACTGTTCCATATTATAATGAAAATTTTTGCTTTACCTCATTTTAACAAAGTTGCAAAAAAAAAAAAAAAAAAAAAAAAGACAGTTTTTTATTCACAATTTTGTTTGCACACAACTGTGCATGTACCTATCCTTAAATGAAACATGTTTATCCCTTTCTTCATTTCTAATTTAAAAGCTTTTTGTATATTTTATGCTCGTTGCAATTTCATAACAAATTATTTAAGAAATCTATTCCTGTTAAAAATGTTCGTCGTTCTATAATTCTACTTTATAATTATTTCAACATATCAAAAAAAAAAAAAAAAAAAAAAAAAAAAAAAAAAGAAGTGAATAAATATAAAATAACAAAACAGCGTACATAATTTTTCAGGTCTAAATAAACATTTCACCGAATTTTTTTTTTTCAATTCATAATTATTCGTTGAATTTATAGGAAAAACACATTCATTTTTTTTTTTTTTTTTTTTTTATACATGTATATATATAATGTAGCAATGAGCATTTGTATGCATCAGAGCATTAAACGTGGCTTGCACTCCTAATGAAACGTGTACTGTTTTGTATGTAATATATTTTTTAATGAAACAGTTTTTTTTTGTAATTTTCGAAAAGGGACGACCGGCCTTTACCGGTCTCCGGTATTTTTCAGTTAGGTCATTATAGTAGTAATATCTAGAAAACATGCACATACTCTACCGCAAGTAATCGAGGACACAAAATGGGGGAAAATATGATATGAAGGTTCACAACTTGGTGACATCAGAAAATGTCCCATTTTACACGTACATATGATAAATGATACATAAATATAGCAGCTCTAAATGCAATCCACTTATAAGGGGTGAATTTAAAAACGGACACTGTGGGTATATCTGATTATTTGTATTTGTCTTACACCTTCAATCGCCAAGGTCCTTTTCTCCGCCAATCTCCCTGTGATGCTACGAAAGCGATGGCTTGTTTATTTTTTGTTGGACCATTTTCTTCCACTCTCTTTTCTTTCTCTGCTTTTTCTTCAAACCCTATAAATGATCTTGTAAAATTCATTTATCGTAAAACTTGTTCATGGAGGGATCAGAAAATGCTTTAGCTTCCGCTAATGCTTTAGCTTCGGCTAATCTTTTAGCTTGTTGGCATGGGCATTCTCCAGATGGGGAGCCACCGCCAGCTAGTTTTGCGCCTTTGTCTTTGCAGGTGCATTCAGTATGTGCGTGCGCATGGTGCTTCTCATGGTGCGCATCAACCATTTCTGGCTCGTTATCATCGCCTTCTCCAGTTAAGTACGACATTGGAAGCAATTTCGCCTGTAAAAAAAGGATAGTTCAGGAGTAATTTATATGGAGAATGTAAAAAGAGGATATTAGATTTTCAAAGGTTCGTTAAAAGAATTGGGCCTCCTCATTCTAAAATGAGTGTGACCCTCTGCTCTCTTTATCTGTGAAAGTGTAAGAAGAGCTCTTTTTTCAAAAGAACCCATAAGAAAAATAAAGTTACACAAAAAGCTCCAACGAAACTTACCAAATTATCCAAGTGTCCTTTTTTGTACATGTAGATCAAGAATCCCATGAGAAATATTAATGCCAAAATAGCTAAACCTCTTTTGTCAAAAACGCTCTTACAGGTATCTTTCAGTGAATCTAAGAATGGTTTTTTTTCCGTTTCCTCCTCCTCCTCATCATCCTCATCCTTGTCACCAATTGTACTACAATCATCATCATCATTAGAAGTGTTGATAAAGCCACTGAATAATCCTCTCATATACTTATCTGCGTCCTTCATGAATGGGATTGTGCTTTGCGATGATGCATCATCTTCGGGTTGTGGGATAACATCATCCACATTATTTTTAATTTTGTCGTCGAAAGTGACATTTAAACTACATTTACTACCTTCCATTTTGAATTAATAGGTAAAATAAATAATAATAGTTTAAGCTTATAAAAGTGGTAGAAAATATAGTAGAATAATTTTTAGCTATACAGATAATAATGTATATATATAAAATTTTCCCGTGATATTATTGGTATTTTCAATAATACAATAAATGTGGTTAAGTTTATTTTTTAAAAAAACTTAAATGTCAATTAATTAATTTTCGAATACATGAATTTTTAGTTCGAAGTTTAATTAACAGTAATATGAACAAAATAAATAGCAATAAAAGAGAGTATGTATTTTTATTAAGAATAAATCTTTAATTTCTTGAACTATTTTAATATTTTTGTAATTCTCAAAATAATTATTCTTTTCAACGTTAGGGTTACGGGATAATTTTAATTAAATAAAAAATTAGAACACAAAATGGACGTTATTTTTCCTTTTATCTCGTAACGGATCTATAAATGCAAATGGTTTTTATTAAAAAATAGTATGTTATAAAATATTCTTTTCCCCTACACTTATTCTTAAAAAGAAATTTAAATAAAATCACATTCACTAATATGTGCCAATTTATCTGTAATTCACCTAAATCGTGCTTTTATAAAAATAATTCAGGGGAAAACACATTTTTTTAAATAAATAAAAATATGTTGTTTTTATTTTATGTTTTTGTATAAGGGGAAATTAATGAATTGTATATCTTTTCTCAAATTTTAATTAAATCGAGGGGAAAATAATTAAATGGGAATATGCATACAAAAAAAGCAAAATACTCTTCACATGCAATCAAAATTTTTTAGATGGAAAGAAATAAGAGGGTAACGCCTTAAAGAACAATGCTATACATTATACAAATTAGAAAAAATTTTCTCATATGCAATAAATAAAAAATAAATTATTGCGACCTTAAAAATGGTGTAAAACTCCGTCATGCAATGATGCTATTTTTATGCTTTGTAGTTTTTTTGTGCCCATCTCCCGTATTTTTTTCCATCTCCGGGTTATTTAAAAATAATTCTACAAAACTCAATTCGCTAAATTAAATTTAAACAAGTTTCCGCAGGCGACGAATTTAAGCACGTCACTTAAAAATCACAAAATAGCAATTTCTAAAACAAAAAAAAAAAAAAAAAAAAAGCATGCATTTTTCTAAGTCATATTAACGAGGAGTATTCTTCAAAGAATCCATCGCCCCCCAAAAAAATGCATAAATAATATATCGTAGTATTTTATTTATGTATATATATTTGCTTTCCCCTTCAGTTTTGCGCCTTCTATAAAATGAACTCATATGTCTTTCTTTTCTGGTATGTCGAGTTCACCAGTTTTTTTAAATATTAATAAGACGAAAACCCCCATTTAATTTGTTAGATAAACTTGTTCTTCGTTTTTCTAGTTTCCTTTGCAGCGAAACCCATACAAAATACGCTTCTGCAGAGAAGAAGCAATTTTTTCTAAAATATTTTATTTTTACTCTTTTATTTCATTACCCTTTTTCATTATTCATTCATCAGGGATAATATCATTCACTTTACACCAATATGAAGGAATTGTGCAATGAACAATAAAATAATGTTCTAAAAGGGGTTTGTCCAATATTATACTATATTATTTACACCTGTCCTCATTTGCCATCATATTCTTTGATGCTTCTGTTCCCTCTTATGAGGAATTAAAAAAGTAAAAAAAAAAAAAAAAAAATGATAAATTATTCCATTAACCCGGTTTATATTAGATCAACTAATCGATCATTGAACCCCCGGATCCGTAACTTTCTACGTCTTCCAACATTAATAATGGTTTCATACACCAATAAGACACATATGAGTTTTTTTTTTTCATTTTTATGAACCTCATTTTGTTTTAAACTTTTCCAAGATAAAGTTACCTCCCGCCCCCATTCGTAAAGCGTATTAAATTCCTGTAAATACGTCGCGTATATTATGGTGTATGCGGAAAATTCCTACTTTTTAAATTAAATTTTGCACAAAGGAACCTTAGCGTCTTTCAAACAATATGTCACATGTCCTCTTATTTTACTAATACCCCCACACACCTAAATGCTAAGCACAATTGTATTTCACCCAACTTTTTTTAAAATTTAAACTTTCTTCAATTTTTAAAATCGGGACATTTCACATAAACGTGATGTTATGATATTTTTGATGAGCCTTTGCTTTGCCTTTTCATACCATACTCAGGCAGGATAATTCAGCCTTTATCCCTCCTATGTAGTCCCTTTAAATTCCTGTCATTAGAACCGCTCTGTACAGCAATATACTTATTTATGTCAGGTATTTCACGGTACAATTTGCTCGAAAGGGTGTAATAATAAACGAAACACAGCCATTAAACACATTTCCATTTGCCCAGCTCGGAGCAATATTTTTGTTATGTAGCTGTTTAATTATATTTGTTTGTAAGGTTAAATGTAGCTTATGCGCATTGAGCATTCTCGCCACTGTTGTTATTTTTTTTACCATGTACACAACTGTCATAAATAATATTTTGTACATGTTTATACGGGGATTAAAATGTATATGTCTATCACAAGTATATTTGTAACATTCTCCAGCAGTACATACCTCATAAGTGTGGTACCCATCCTGCTCATTCTGTTAACCTGAATGGATGCTTTTGCAGTATCACAACTTTAAATTCAAACAAGTAGTACAGCTATCACGCGAGTACAACAAATTAGAACCACGTGAAAAAGCACAAAAGTAATGTCGAATCCTGATTATTATGTGCTCACTAATATATGTTTGCAAGTGTTCGTCCTTTTAAATTGGGTACAATATAGCAGCAATTGCAGTGGCACTCGTGTATACAATTATATCTACACACTATGCGACAACGGGTGAATACCCATGCTTCAGAAATGTGATACACCCCTCTACCATAATGGTATACACTAACACAAAGCAGAAGGAAGATGATAGCATGCACACAACTCAACCTATTTGGATAACCACATGGCCATATCATCCTTTAAAGACATCCCCATGAGCTTATAATAGCTGTGTTAAAATGATACTCCCCTTAAAATGTGTTCGCTGTCAAACGAAAAGATAAATATTCTTAATTGGGAGCTATTTATTCCTACTCATGAAACCATGTTAACCTTGTAAATCCCATTTTGTCATGTTATTTTTACGAAAAAGAAACGAAAATAAGTTTTGCGTACAAAGATATACATCATAATTGCGCATTTTCAAAATTGACCAAATGGATTTACACAAAATTGCAACCCAATATGTGCCAAAAACATGGCTCTTCAATTCGTATTCATAGTGAGACTTTTACGAAGCAAAAAGTTGTGCAAAATGGTCAAATGACCTGATTAAAATTTTATTCATATACAATACCATCCCCCCTGTCAAAATATCCCATTTCAAGAAATGAACATAAAAAGGAAAAAACTTCTCCATAGCTACACTTCACAGATTACGAAAGAAATATATTTGAAATGTACAGAATGAATAGTTTTGTGCATGTTTTTTTTCATCCTCCACGCGCAACGGATATGAGCCTTTATATGCTCCCTTTTAAATGGAAAGTGTCTTTTTACAGAAAACCCGTTTCTACATTCTTCTGTATATATCGTTGAATAAATGCAACTACGACGAAGTAATTATGCGCTTACGCATAGTCATAAAAAAAAAGGAGAAAAAATAAATATAATCACGCGGAAAACAAAATTAAAAAATATGCAAATCATTTTTTTGCCAAACAGAAAAATTCCTAAAAAAAAATTTATAAATTATTTTTAATGTAATATAATAATTATATAAATATATTTATGCATCTGCCGGGAATCGAACCCGGGTCACTTCGATGGCAACGAAGTATTCTACCACTAGACCACAGATGCTTACAAAACACTACGCTTGCTCTACGACTACAACATAAGATCCTGAATACACTTATAAACTTCATTAAACAGCATCAGCACTATGATCAATATGGATATGCATGTGAACAGGTACAAGAACACATATATGTATGTTCTTTGCTCTTTTTCCATAGCTATATCTACAAAAAAAAAATATCATCATATGAATGCGAAAAAGCATTAGGGAAGGGATAAAAACATGATTAAAATTTTTATGCAGAATTTTTATTCATATTAGAATTTTCTCGCTTTAAATTACTACCGAAAAGACTGTGTACATGCAGCAAGTCGCCTTAACTGAAAGGAAAGATATATTTCCAATCAGGCATTTTTAATCATAGTTTTTCTCGCAGATGTTTCAACATCAATGCGAAAATAAAAATATCACAGTTGTTTACAATTTCGCACGAAATGCTATTGTAAGCTCTATTTTTACATCATCTAATGAATAATAACTGTAATTAATAACTTAATGGGCGCGTAGCTCAGCGGTAGAGCAGCTGACTGCAGATCAGCGGGTCCATGGTTCAAATCCGTGCACGCCCTTCTTTTTTTTTTATTTTATTTTTTTTTTTAACTTGCCTGTTTTGTAAAACACAGTTTTGCGTAAACTCACAAAAATGATGAAATTAAAAATAGCTTTATTTTGTTTTCTTTTTTTTCACTGTAGCCTTATAACAGTTTCCAACATAAAATCCACATTTATTCGCTTTAATCGTTTCACTAAAATTCAACTTTTACGTTTTGCCTTATCACGATGCTGTTCATTCTCATGCATGCATAATGTTGCAAGGATCTATTGAACCAGCAGACCACGGCGGATCGGTAAAACTTTCATTAAGCATATCTATGTTGCTATAAACATGGGCCTCAGCTGAACATTTCAAGATGATTTTATGTCAGCTACGCTTTTTTACATACATTGTGTACACATTTGCGAGGTATATAAATGGGACATAAAATTGCACAACCCTATACATGCATACATTTACGTGCTCATTTGGGCTCACAGACCGTACATCAGCCTCAAATTTACTCATGCACTGCGAGCATGTTTTAAAACACTGTTTTGGGTTAAAATAATCGCATGAAATCGTTTCCGTTGTGAAATGCAACATGC